TCTTCTTCTTCTTCTTCTTCTTCTTCTTCTTCTTCTTCTTCTTCTTCTTCTTCATATTTTCTGTTAAGTTGTTGTTGTTGTTCTTGCTGTTGTACTTGATGTTGTTGCTCTATTGTTATTGCTTCATTGTTATTGCTATTGTTACTGCTTTATTGTTATTGTTATTGTTATTGTTATTGTTATTAAATTGTCATTGTTATTGAATTGTTATTGTTATTGTTAGTAGTGGTGAACTTTTAACCGTGTCTCTGCCTATGCCGGTCTGTCAGACTGTCTGTCGATCATCTAATCGCCAGTCTATTGTCTGCCTCCTCTGTTGCCCGTATCGCCTCGTGGATTTATGTGTTGATGCGCTTTGTCCATGCACCTGCACATTAACGTGACGCAACTGAAAGGAGGAAAAATCGTGGGTGGTTGGCGGGTGCTCTGGTGTGGTTTGGTTCTTTTTTCCTACCAAACGTCTATCGTCCGTATCTCTCCTCCTTCTTATTTATGTATGCTACTCTCCTTTAACACCTTTAATCTTCGGCACTTATATGACCTAATTGTGCTGCAAGTGCCTTAAATTTCTTACTAAAACGGACAAAAAAAAGGGATGGGGGTGAGTTTAGTTTAGTAAGGTTTTGCGGCGCTCGCAACTGCATACAGCCATATGAGCGCCAAGTTGTGGATGTCAACTGAGAAGTCCAAACGGGGAATCAGGCTTACTCTGCTAACCTCATTAGCCTCAACAGCACAAAGTCTACTTCGACTATTAAGTATCAAGGCACCCCGGAAATAGCAGTTTACAAGAGAGTGACAAACATACAAAAGAATCTGAGGATAAAATCTATTGTCAGGATGAGGAAAGAAAAAGCTGCAGTTTCCTGGTGAGAGTGGGGTTGGTTTTTTGTTGGGGGGGGGGGATTATTTGAAGAAGAACAAGTCATAAGTTTGCTAAGGGCGTCAGTAAAACTCTGAAGTCAAACTTTTCTCCCCTCCTTCCTTGATCTTTATCAATGTTTCGTGAGCTCTCGGGACAGGCGTAGCCAGGCCTATGAAGAAGCAATAATTGATAAAACATCGAAAAGAGCGACCTTTGCTTTTTTGACTTGCTGTGTACACCTTTTATCTTATCTTCCTATGAATAGCTATAAAAGGAAGCCGGACTTCCCTGTCGACATCCAGCCCCTGCGCTCATATGACCCAATGCAGTTGCGAGCGCCGTAAAACCTCTACTAAAAAAGAGGAAAAAACCAAGGAAGCCTAAAATGTAATAATAATAAT